CCTAACACGAACGATGTACGCGGAGATTTGAAGTATGCCTTTGCTCATTACTGTCTGCGGCTGTGAAATAGTTCTAGCGACGTTTCATCACTACCGTAAGCCCCACGTTGCGAGAGCATTTCCAGTCGATGATGTGTTATAACACTTTGAATGCAATAAAAAATAATACCGAGAGCAAGGGAGGTATCCACAAAATGAAGTCTTGCCAATCACATTAAAATTAAAGAACAACCCATATCTGCTGTATTCAGCATATGGTACAACAGTATTATATCATCAATAAGTATCGTAATTTCTACCCGCACATAGTATATCTTGAAGTTATCAACAATGGTTGGTTCTAAACCGTACTACCTTATTCGAACGATAATGGGAATAGGATTCACATATCCAACTAGAACCTTTTCTGATGTGGTTAGGCTATAGTTCCTTTGCAAAAAATGTATGGGAAAAAGTTAGATTTCGTATGGTGAACGTTCTTAGCAACCCATTGTTCGTATGGTTGAGTTTTCAAAAACTTTAATCAATATGGTCAAAACCAGGCATACCAAAAGTACCGCCTCATGACAGTATTCCAACGGCTGTCACTTTCTTTTCCCTACGACAGCCTTGAGATTGAACTATAAGCGACAGCCCACAGTGAGGCTGTTATACGACATGCAACGTTGCCGTCTTGTGCAGTACACGACAGCTCGTTCTTAGTCATGTATTTTGTTCGTTCGGCTATGACAGCCTCGGATGGTCATTCGTAACGTTCCTCGTACATACAACAAGCAGTCCGTCGAACTGCCGATTCGTTGCTGCTGCCTTTGAAATTTTGTTTGTATGTCGTAAGACTGCTACTACACTACCAGTGTGGCGCCGGAGCTCGTTCGGTTGCTATCACGTTCGTGCTGCCCATTGCAAAATTTTCATCCGATATTTTTTTAAAAACGCGCGGTCTCCGGCGAAAAATATAAGCCTACCCGACACCAACCTGACTTCTACCAAACCCCAACCCGATGTTGGCCCGACATTGACCCGACATAAACACAAAATTGACCCGACATCGACCCGACATTTGGCCGACGTCGACCATAAATTGACCTTACATTGATCCGACATCGGGCCGACATATCTGTTCGGGATCATTCTTCTGGGTTTCTTCCATACTCCACTGCCGTATATCAATTGTATATAATGTCTCGTGACAGCCTTTTCGTAACAGCCACTTGGGTAAGCTGAGGGATGTCGTCGGTTTGTGAAGGCTGTTATGACGACAGAAACATTGAGAACCTGGTCATAAAGAAATGTATAAATACAGCCCATTCGGTTCACTACGTTCCAAGCACGATGATTTTAGCAAAGCGGGTATAGATGCGACTGTTCTAATACAGCTTTCATTCGTTCGTGCGTGCGCTGTTGCCAATACACTTCGAATTCAGATCTGAACGTACGGTAGCAAGCGGCAGTAAGCACACAAAGCAACTGTCAATTCAGGTATAAACCAACTGTCGCGAGGAGGCTGTACTATTTGGAAGCCTGGTCAAAACTTTATCTAGGTATGGTTCGATTGAAGTTGACTGAAACATTTTCATTATGGTTTTCACAGGAAGATAAACCATTTTCAATATGGTAATCGTACGGTTGTGATTTATTCGGGTAGTAATCCTGGTCCCGAACCAAAGTGAAGAGGCGGTTGAAGAGCCTGAAGAGGAAGTAGAAGAAGAAACAATTTACGAGGACGCTGATGACGAGAGTAATTTTTTTTTGTTTCAATGATGAAAGTATTCACGAATCTGGACAACAGATGCAGAGAAGAGCACCGCGCTCTACGCGAGGTGTTCTTCCAAGAAGATATGACGATTTTGTGGTCTCACGATTGTCGGATTTCCCAGATTTCTCCATCTTTTCAATCTGTAAATTGATACACACAACTGAACTGAACTGTTCTTGTTCACGTCTGTCTCAAAACTCATCAAGTTATCCTCTCTCAGCTCTCAATTTCCATGGAAGCTTTCCCGTTTGCGATGCTTTAGCTACGTGTTTTCTCAGAGACGTACTACAATTCCAGCTCTTAATTTCTATGGAAGCTTTCCTGTTTGCGATGCTTTATCTACATGTTTCTCTCAGAGACGTACTAGAATTACTCTAGCGCTTTTGAGAGATTAGTGCTTTCGCTTTATTTCTCCTTTTCACTCTCACACTCTCGCGTTTCTGAGAGCTAAGTGCTTTTGTTTTATTTATTTTATTCACATTCTGTTTGAGGTAGCAGGCTACTAGGCTACACACGATTTATTATTATCACATGCATTATTATTTTTTGAATACACTAGAACTATTATTACTTTTAATTTATTATCAACATATATTATCTACAACGATGAAGAACCCGAAGACTATCGGGAGGCAATGGCCTTGCCAGAGTGGATAAATGCGATGAACGATGAACTCAAGGCTCACGAACAAAACGAAACGTGGGAGCTTGTGAGATTGCCACCTGGAAAGAAAGCGATAAGTGCGAAGTGGGTGTTTGAACTCAAGCGCGATGAAAACGGAAAGGTGGTGAAACATAAAGCGAGGATTGTTGCCCAGGGCCAGTTTGTAAGCGGTCAACGTAGTCGACACATTTTCTGTAATAATCGACTGCCTTTGCTTCCGACGCTTGCAAAACAAGTTATCAAATTACAGTACCAAACTAAAATGTCATATGACAGGCTCTGTCATACGACACTGTCGCCGAAGACCGTCGCTAATGTATGAATTTTAGTTTTTCTCATAATAATAGCTGCTGATGTTTTGCTTGTGTGAATTCTGAAAATAGCAAGCAACGATGTCCTAGTAATAACATTTCTGATCAGAAATAGTTCAATTTACACCAAACTGAGAAATTAGAATGAAATCACACATGTCGTATGATAGTTATTTGATAATTTTCTTTTTGCTCGAATGTTGTTCTATCGTTTGTGATGTGTAAGAGACGATGGTAGAGCATGAAAGTACGAATACAAACAGGCTGTCGCGCACGACAACGAAGCGAGTGTAGTAAAAAACGTCAACCGTTTTATCCCCTGCCCAATGCTACTCGCAAATGTTTGGTGTTGACTATATACGGATGTTTTTGCCCCGGTGACGCGTATTACTACGTTGCGTGCGTTGCTGGCTGTTGTGGGCAAGAAGGGGTTAGTGCTGAAACAGTACGACGTAAAAACTGCGTATTTGAATGGCACAGTGGAAGAAGAATTCGACAGTGAGCATTCATAAGGGCGAATACGCGATGATCGATTCTCTTCATCGATTTTCTCTTTGCATTGCTACAGCTAAGCGAAACAATTTTCAAGAATTTGTTCAATGCAGAGTAGTAACAGGTTGTATTGGCTATCAAAAGCAACAGCACACGCTCCGAGAAACGTTAAATCTAGCGAGTTATTAACAAAAGAAAAAATCGACGAAGAGAATCGATCATCGCGTATTCGCCCTTATGCATGCTCACTGTCGAATTGTTCATGCGTTAACCACCGGGTTCCGGGGAACCTGTCTGTGAACAATGACAATAAGCAATTTCCGGATCAGACATCGTACCGTAGCCTTGTGGGAGCTCTTTTGTATTTGGCTGTCAATGCTAGGGCAGATATTTCTGTCTGCGTGGGATTGCTTGGACGAAAGGTAGCCGAACCAAATCAAAGTGACTGGTTTGTGGCTAAACGTGTCGTGCAGTATTTGAACGCGACGAAAGATCAGAAGCTGACATTCGAACCGGGACAGGAATGGAAGTTGATCGGATTTTCTGACTCGGATTGGGATCGGAGAACCAGGCGGTCTACTACTGGTGTAATATTTTTCTACGGATTTGGACCGATATGCTCGATAAGCAAAGGACAGGATTCGGTCGGTCGCTCTCTCTTCGTTGGAGGTGGAGTATAACGCACTCACCGTGGCGTGTCAGAAGACAATCTGGATCAAACTGCTGAATGATCTCGGTGTACCTCAAGCTGATGCGATTACCATTTTTGAGGATAATCAAGGGTCCATCTGCTTTGCGAAGGTCGAACGATCGAGTGGAGGAGTGAAGCACATCGACACAAAGAAACACTTCATTCGTGACTTGTGTGAACGGAATATAATCGTATTGGTGTATTGTCCTTCATGTGAAATGATTGCTTTGACGAAGCCGTTGGGTCGGCTTATGCTCAACAAGTTCATCGAACGGATTGGACTATCGGCTTTGGCGAAGTCGGTGGTCATTCAGGAGGAGTGTGGGAGTAGAATGACCACTAGTGTTCTACCTCTACATCCAGACGACAGAGATGAAGTCACCTATGTATATTGAATCATCTTGTATTTTGTTGTTGGTGACGTTTTCATACTACTCTTCACTTAGCCTACACATTCTGTAACCGAAAGACGAAAATAACAGTTGTATTCCTATTCTCCGATATTTCGCGTGTTTGATCGTTTGTCCGAGTTATTTGTCCCATTTCCGAGGTTTCCAGTAGTGCTCTCCTCCTTCAAAAATTATAAATTTAATGCTTTGATCGTAATCAGGCTATCTTCACGCATTATGCTTCCTGCAAACAAAAACTGGCCTTCTGCAACTAACTATTTAATTTGAGCAGTCGAAATAAACATATTTTCAGATTATTTTTCTTCTTCTAGTACTACGAGCAAAGTAGACAGAAGTGGTGCGTTTGATAGTAATTTGTTGGCCCAGTTTTGTAAAATCGCTGGCAAACTGCTTGACGAAGTGGTTCATCAAATGCAAGTTTCCGGATAAAAACATATAATTCGTTTTTCTGGTATTATGGTGATCGCCTGTTCTACAAATGAAATATGGGCTTGACAATGGAAAATAGGCATGGACTAAGGACACTGAAGAAGTAAGAGAACATTTGTATTGTTCTGCAATTATTGGACTGCATTTTCCTTGACCTGAAAATATGTACAACCTGGGATACAAGCAACAGGATCTTAGATTAAATAAATTATACTTGGTCGTGTTCTGAAATGTTTTGGTTACTTACCGTGACTACTGAAATGGGTCAATCCCACGATGCTGGATAGCGATCAATAGAAAACAACTAAGCTCACTGTTATATCGATAACACTAATTTCAATTATTTTCACGAAAGACAAACGGAGACCCACACTCGACCATTAGAGCCAGAACAGAACAGAAACTGACTGGTAGCACAGAACAGAAGTGGAACTTCGGATCAGAAAGTGGCTCCACTTTTCATTGACGAACACTAGCGCACCTTGCGATAGAAGGCCTATTGTGCCTGCAATTAAGACAGGAAGCATGCTATGATAGTGTGAGTACACATAGAAAGGCCGCGTGGAACGCTACCACAACGCATCGTTTGTATACAATAGAGCAGAAAAATGTACAACTTTTCAATTCACCGATTTTTATGCACTTACTCTTCTGTTCTGTGCTGGTAGCCTCCTCTCGACATCAGCCTTGGATACCTCACACAGAAATTCAAAACAACCCAAAATTAAGTTCTTTTCACTCATCTCCCATGTTCCGTACGATAAGCCAAATTTGGATAAACCAGCTCAAAGTAGTTTGCATTTAAGCACGGCAAAAAAAAATACCCATCGCTAAGTTATTTTCAATTTTTTCTACCCAAAATTAAGTTCAATTAACTCAAATTTGGGTATATCGCATATTACTCAATTTTGGCTTCTCGTACGGAACTAGACGATTGAGTCGAATCTTTCGTTCTATTTTTGACAACAATAGCGAGAGGAAATGAAACGGGCAGAGGTCAAATAACTCAAATTTGAGTTTAAAAAACCCAAGCGGTGGGTAGTTTTGTTTTTCTGTGCATGTATTTAAGATTGATGCGAATACCCATGTGCAAAAATTGTCAAAAACATCTGATGTGCAAGACATCATGATATCGCGGGTGAATATATTTACACCACCATTGTAAACACCGCTTATATGTGGCTGCGTGCTGGTACACAGTGAACCTTTTATGAGTAGATAGTATACACGCTATTTCAAAACTCCAAATTTGGGTAGAATCCACCCAAATCGGTCAAAACTGAACCTACCCAAAAATGGGTAAACTGTGTTGGGAGTGACAAGTTTACAAATGAACAACGTCGAAACGATTCATGTCAATGTTGTTCATTTGTCAACTTATCACTACCAACACAGTTTACCTATTTTTAGGTAGGTTCAGTTTTGACAGAACTAGGTGGATTCTACCCAAATTTGGGTAGTTTTGAAATAGCGTGTAGGTTTATAGACCTTCCCGCATAAACGCGAACCATCACATGACCTTACCGATAATGGTTATAAATTGTTTATAATCCCTGCTAAACTTCAACTGAAATGGTTATGGAACTTTACATGAACGTTTGTGTGATAAAGTTTTAACCTTATGTATTATGGTTTTTGGGAAGCGGACCTTACAAACAATGGGTTGTTAAGAACCATTACCATTCAAAATTCTTGTTTTCTCCATACATTTTCGGAAAGAGAACTATATTAGAACGTTTTTACTTATGGTTTGAGAACATTAATGGTTACGGTTATGGTAGTCAGTAAGGTCCATTAATGGTTTTGTATTATCGCTCAACTTTACGTGAAATATATCGTGAATTGGTAATCAGTAATTTACAGGCAACCAATTCGCGATATATTCCACATAAAGTTGATCGATTTTACAAAACCATTCATGGACCTTACTGGTTACCATAACCATTACCATTAATGTTCTCAAACCATAAGTTAAAAGGTATTAGTATAGTTTTCTTTCCGAAAATGTATGGAGAAAACCAGAATTTTGAATGGTAATGGTTCTTAACAACCCATTATTTGTAAGGTCCACTTCCAAAAAACTATAATACTTAAGGTTAAAACTTTATCATTAAACGTTCATGTAAAGTTCCATAACCATTTCAGTTGAAGTTTAGCAGGGATTATAAACAATTTATAACCATTATCGGTAAGGTCAATTTATGGTTCGCGCTTATGCGGGTTTCTGACGTTTAATTGCCTTTCTCTATCTAGCACACATTGATGAATGCACTGTTTGTTTTCCCACTAGTCTGTTTCCCTCTTGCTCGCACTCGTTCGATTTAAATGGTGCAGTAGTGTGCGCGGATTAAACGTCAAAAAGCTCTATAGAGATTAGTGATGTTTAACGCACGCACACTAGCGGGTACATCGCCGTGTGAAGTTGTTTATTATTTTCCTCTGACTTAACCTAAAAAATGTACGAAATTAGATCTGTCAAATTGAGTTTGACAGCGATTTAATATGTATCTAAGAGAAGAGGTGCCAATACGGGGGCAAAAATGAACCACTTTTCTGTAAAACGTGAACCAGCTCGTGATTGGCTGATTTGATGTGCGTAAGATAGAGATAGAGAGAGAAATTAAAGAGTAAGAAGCCAATTGTCATCTCTTCCTCTTAGGTATGTATTTGCCTCGGATTTTCACGAACCATCTCTTACATATCGCACCAATACAACCAACAATCAATATGAAACTAACGATTTTAAATTGGCTCACTACTTGACTAGCCTATACGTCCCAAGCAAACGATTAACGTACCCCATTCTAGTCGAAATTCTAGTACTGCACTATGTTTGTTTTGATTCGCTATGAAAGTTTGACAGATAAAATGAGAGGTTAGTGGATTTTCCTATATTTCGAGGGGTGAATCGATTAGCTTGGGACCGAAGAGAGTACCAGAGCTGAGCCAAAAAGTTGAGCACGTTTCTTCGGGACCTTCTGGTCTTTGAGTTACCTCTATGACACAACCGGACGTGAAAATCACAGTGTTTAAACTACCGAAGTCGGTAAAATTTTACTGGGGTTTTAAACAGCTGGGTTTTCAGTAATCCACCCAGTAGTTTTTGCTTTTGCTCAAAACTCCATAAATCGCAGACTCTCTGAACTGTCAAAAATAACCAAATGCTGTAACTGTTTACACGGGCCGCACGTTGGGCAGCGCTGCACTAAACACGGAGTATACCACCAAAAAAAGCGAAAACTGTGTAGCGATTATTGGATAACCGGGAAAAGGTTGAGTAATGCTTTTCACAATCACTCACAACTATAGCTATAGGTATAGGGTAGAGAACTACTTCGACCTAATCGCCCATTTTTGGCCTATCGAGCAGAAAACTTCAAATAAATCCATGATTTCAGAATTAACAAGTCAATTATGCGTTTGGTACGATACTTCAGTTAATAATCTACGGAACGAAGTCAGTGAGAACGCGTGATACAAAGGTTTGCACCCATTATTCTTAAAAAACAAAAGAAGCGCTCCGACCGAAGCCATTTTTATCTTCATCCGATAGGCCGAAGTGAATTCATTGGCGTTTCATTGGCGTTTCAATGCGTTAGGCCGAGTTTAGAATCCGTAGGCCGAGTTTGGTGTCAAGAAGCAGTGTTAGACTTTTGACAATATCTCAACGATTGATTTCTCTTTATCAAATCTTATGGTACGTACGGAAAGGTAAATAAATTTGGAACCCATCAGTAATAATAACATTCCGTTTGGTGCTAAACTGCGCTAGATTAAGAAAGACTAAGTGCGGGTTGTGCTTAATAGGCCGGAAATGGGGTAGTTAACCCTACCCAACAAACAATTCAAAGTCACAAATAAGCATATAGGGGAAATGCAGGTAATGTCGGCCTAAGTGTCCCTAATTTGGGCCCATACATAAATTCAGCAATCGACTAAATTTTCAATAGCAACCAAAAATATCCATTAGTAACGTCCCAATAACGCGTTCATCTAGATAAATCTAATAAATAGCTGATTTTTAGCGATGGGCCCAATCTTAGATCCATAGGCCAACATTAGAGACATTTCCCCTATGAATGAATAAAACAGGATGTCGAATTATATGCTGAAAAAAGCTCATTGAGATCGATTGATGCGCCTTTATTCCGCTATTCGCTCTGAAATGATTAATTTACTTATTAAAAGCTTTATCAACGTTGACTGTTATCCTGATTCAGAACCAGAAGTTTGATCTAATAACAAACAGAGTAAGTGTAATTTGCACATACATTGACGCTTTCGACTGTTTCCAATTGATTTAATAAAATCCTTTATTAGGCGTCTTATATTAGATTTCATTGGATTACTCTATAAAGGTGAATACAATCAGCAAAATAGCTCTTATACCACTATGCGTCCATGTTTTAATTGCATGCTTTGTAAATGCTTTATAAACGACGCAATAGATTCATTATTCCACAACACTGGTTCAGCCTTACTACAAGACGAAATCAGTAGAGTAGTGGTTACCGTTTCCGCTTTTCAAGTAGAAGGTCGCGAGTTTAATTTCAAGCTCAACCCTTTTTTATATTAATTTGTGTTCTAAATCGTAATCATTGATCACATCACTCACGACAACAAATTCATTGATTTAGTTTAATAAATAACCCAGCATCCTTTCCTTCACTCAAAAAAATCCACACGTTCCATTCATGTGTTTTCAAATATGAATTTTGACATGGACATGGATCACATCATTCGAGCAGTTTAAAATGACGTTTCCTACCACTCGAACTTTAACGTGGAACAATATTTCAATATTTTTTTTTCTACAACCTCGAGAAAATAGAGTCTTATTTGTAAAATGCTTGAAAAATCTGAAATTGATTCTTTCATTTCCGTAAAATCGCTGGTAGAATGTCGTCCCAAAACTGCTCGACAATAAGATTAATTGGCAGTCACCATGATATCATGTGAATTTCATTCGCATTTCATGGGTCAATGTTCAAAAATCACATGTCCTAGCTGTCGGTGAAATCAAAACAAACCACACCATAATGTTGTGTGTTTACTTATTTATTGAAATTCATGGAATCTCAGTATAGGATCTGCGCTACCGTTTTCTACTATCGCATTTAACGTGTATGGCACATGGGTTTCTTAGTCTCTTAGCAGAACGAGTGTCATGCAAAATATAATTCTCGAACTTCTTCTCACTAGCGGCACCTGGTCACAAAACGCTGTTAACACTAGCCAGGTGTATGGTAAATTGCAAATTCATTATTCTGGTTTTATATAACGTTGTGTATGCTTCAAAAATGGATGATCAAGGCACATACAAACAGACATACACATTGAATATTTCTCACTGTATAACATCATCGGTAAAACATTACGGTCATCTGTCGAGTACACTGTGCATTACGCTGAACAGATGGCGGTAATGTGTAAACGTCAAACGCAAGGGAATTGACGATACGATACTTTTAAATTCACCGTTAAATGCTTGTTCGACGAAAAATTTGCGAGCGTTATGTCTGTTTGTCTGTGATATAGGCTTCAAGACTTTTCAGAAAAAAAAATACCGACCCGTTAGTTAAAATAATTAAAATAGCAATTAAATTGCGATCACTTAAAATTTAACAGGTACGGTACCCTTATACAGGTACGTAGCGTCATTGGGCACCAATGTAGGGGTACTAGTTATACAAATTCTAATTAACCGCCACTTAAATACAATTTTAGCTATTCAAACAAACGGGCACTACCAATAACCTGAGACGCTGCCTTTTTTTTCGTACCAGCATAAAAACGCCTATATTTTTCAAAATGGCATATCTGATATTTTTCTATAATTCATAGCACGAAAACGTCTCAACTAATAAAAATAATGTCTGAAACAGAGTTGTAGGAAACTGGATTGCCTTTAAAAAAAAAAAATATCACAAATTTTCGTCCAAAAATGAAAAAAAACCGTTTAAAAGTACATTTTAAAGAATTTCTAGCTTATCAAAAATGCCAACGTTTCTGAAATGGACACAACGGACACTTCAAAATGGACTAATATCGTAGAACATAAACGTAAGTTTGAACATTTAAAAAAGGCACTTTTGTGTTATTGAAGTTTGTTTAATTTTTGATTTTTTTCAGTGTGTATTTATTTACGGAAAACCATTCTATTTTCCTAAAACTTTGTCTCAGGCGTCATTTTTATTAGATGAGTCGTTTTCGTGCTATGGGTTATTGAAACACGTAATTTTGAAAAATTAGACTGTAGTTTCATGGGATTCTGAGCGGCACAATTTAACATTTGTTTAGTTTTTCACTATTTGGCTGTAGTTTTATTATTAGAAATGAAACTCACTCATAAAATAAATCACATAACCAGTGGAAAATATCCATGTGAATTTCACATAACTTTCATTTGATTCCATAATTGGAATAATGAAATCATATGAACCTTATGTGTCCAATGATTATTCACATATAATTTATTATAATATGTGATAGGGTAGAGAACTACTTCGGCCTAATCGCCCATTTTGGGCCTATCGTGCAGAAAACAAAATAATTTCATGATTTCATAGTTAACAAGTTTATGAGTTTAGTTATTAACTAAAGTATCGTACCAAACTCATAATTGACTTGTTAACTCTTAAATCATGAAATTATTTGGTGCTACCGAACGAAATCAATGAGAACGCGTGATGTGAAGGTTTGCACCTATAATTCACAAAAACAAAAGAAGCGCTCCGACCGAATCAATTTTTAGTGAATTCATTTGCGTTTCAATGCGTTAGGCCGAGGAGTTTAGAGTCCGTAGGCCGAGTTTGGCGTCAAGAAGCAGTGTTAGACTTTTGGCAATATCTCAACGATTGGTTCCTCTTTATCAAATCTTACGGTACGTACAGAAAGGTAAATAAATTTGGAAGCCATCAGTAATAATAAAATTCCGTTTGGTGCTAAACTGCGCTAGATTAAGAAAGACTAAATGCGGGTTGTACTTAATAGGCCGAAAATGGGGTAGTTAACCCTATTCCTACATGAAACGAAAATTAATTATTTTATTCATGTGTTTCACTCATACATTTTTGCCTAAACATCAGCCTTATACATTCCATAAGACAAAACACATAGGACATAAGAATGTATACACGGTAGGGGGAGGAGGGGCATAGTGAACAGGTGGGGCATAGTGAGCAACCCGCAGTTTGGCTCTGGATCTCCAGCTGCATGAAACAAATCAACTGGTAGTAGGTTCAATATCATTATGATGTTGATCCTACCATCAACCAATTTGTTCCGAACGGCCGGAAGTCCAAGCTGGTGCACGGGATGCTCACTATGCCCCTCTTACCACTATGTGTGGCCATTTATACATTTCATTTGACTCATGATCTTCTTTAACTTTTTTGCAAGGCGTTGACTTATACATTTTAAGAATAATCAGCAATAGAAATTTGCCAAAGGTATAACTTGATTTCTATCCGTGCAATAGAAACTATGTGAACACTTTTTTCAGTGTAGGTATAGGGTGCGGCTCCATTTCGGCATACTCCCTTACATATGTCTCCCAAACAGCCCCGTACAATATTTGTACAGCATTCGTAGATCTGAGCAAAAAATGTGATGCATGAATGTTGGATGTAGCTGTTTTCATTATTTTCGACGCATATGACGGGAATAGGTCCCATATGTTGAAGTAGTGCTCCACCCTATACTTCAGTACTAATCGATAATACCAGTCACAAGTAGTCGAATTTAATGCGATTCAGTCATAGATAAATCAGATTAAATCCTGAAGAACACCTCGTTATCTCAAATATTTTGTGAGTGTCCTTATGTGACTTATGTTTTTTAATGGTCCTTGAGGTGACGTTAATCGTGACCAAAAAAACCAAACGTAGGAAAAGGACTGTTTGGCACACATATAACTTTCCATGACTCCCAAGTATGATTTTTGTCCTACTCGTGTTTGGCTCGTTTGGCTACCGTAAAGGATACTTAAGGGTGAATGATTCAAACTGGAATCATGCCGCGACGAGATACCTACCCGTTACATCTGCAAGTTTTCACCTGAAAGAAAAAGCATTCATTTTTCATTTTGCATCTCTGGCATCAAATGCATAGCATGTCATCTACACGAACTTAGTTGTTGAGCATATTTTTGCTGAAAAGGTATGAAGAAAACTTTACACGTGTCATTAGTCGTGTAGGTTTTGCCTAGGCTTAAAATAAGTTTACGTGCAATAAGTAAGACTCGCAGCCATGTGATCAACACGGACGGTCAAGCGATCAGAATTAGGGTGAAGATGTGAACATTGGTTGAATGGTGGTTGTAATAATAGTAAATGAAACAGACAAAGTACATATTGCGTGTAAACTTTTGGATCTTTGACTTTAAGAATAATCTCTTCATTTTGCTACTAATTACAATACTTCTTATTGTTACATGTTGACTGAAAACGTAATAGTATCCTTATTAGTATATTTCTCCATTCGGCTTCATCAATATTGCCAACTAATTTCGTAGTGGTTTGAAGCACTGTTTTGCTGCTTGAAATTGCAATTTTTCCAATTAAATTAATTTTTCAGTCAAACCTTGTATAAGTAAAAAGCCGAAGAAAAATTAAAGCGGCGAACTATAAATACTCATTGGGATTAAATTGTCTTACGCTAAGATTTCATAATAAATTTTATTCATTTGCTTTTACGTTCGAAGTTTGAGTAATATTCCTTTCCGTACGGTAAACTATCAGTTTAGTGGTGAGCCCTACTCATGTCCTATCAACAAAGAACATCTATATTTACAAAGTAGCCCTTTAGTAAAATAAACAACACAAATTTTAAAAAAAGGAGTCAGGAATGGAAGCTCGTCGGCAGCTTGCTTGCAATCTCACTAATTACGGAGAATTCAAAGCTACCACTAGGGAAGATAAACGCATGCCAACAAGGGCAGGCGACACTAATAATACAACCGGTATTGTTAAGTGCCTTCCAAGTTCAAGTTTTCCTGTTGTCTCCAATGTACAAAAAAAAATCCACAAAAAACTGGGATTTACCAAACACAACTGCTTACTAGAGTAAGAATTATTTCTTTTTGTCCATCCGACGATGATTGTTATTATTCCGACGATTAGGATTGTTACCACCTCCGGAGTTGTTCCAACGTTCATTATTTCTAAAGTTACCCCCTCCTTGTCGGTTGTTATTCCGCATAACGTTGCCTCGCATGTTTCCGAAATTGCTCGGGTTGTTTCTCTCAAAATTAGGAACAAATCCAGCTCCGCCTCCATCATTGTAGTCATCGACCCATTCATCCAACAGGGGTGGCGGGTTGTTGTTTTTGTTGATTTGTCCCATCGCTAGGAATTGCTCAAAGGGCATATTGGGTGCTACGCCCAACAATCCAGGTCGAACTTCTGGCGGACAATTGAACCTGGGTAGATCGAACAACGACGGTGGTTTTTGTATGGGTGGAGGAATATTCACTGGAGGAATATGACCCATAGGGGGCATTCCTAGGTTGGGAGGTGGTACCGACATTAGTGGCGGGGGCTGAGAAGGTACCAAAGGTACTTCACAAAATGATACCGAATCGTCGACATATACGTTCAAGTTGGTCAGGATAAACTGCAGCATCTGGTTGTTAGCCAACTGATGCATAAAATCTGCCAACTTATCGGTGGATTTGTCGGAGTTGTGGTACTTTTTCATTTCCGTTGTTAGTATTGCCAGCTGCTGGTTGACCATGATCTTGTGTTTTGAGCTGAGATCCGTGTACCAGATCGAACGCTGCAGGATGGTTTGTACGTCAAGTTGAATAGGGTTTATGTTGGGATTGTTTGTACCACTGCTGCCACTGCTGTCATGACCAGGACTTTGAATTTTACTCTCTTGAATGCGCTTCGTTCGAGGATCTACACGGGGTGCAACGGGAACCGTTGCCAACGAGGATGATACTGATTTAGGGGACCTTAAACCAGTTAGTAAAAAATCCGATTTGGAATTATTCTCGCTGTCGCCTTCAGTGTACATTCCAAATATCCGCCTGAGTCGAGGATCCTTGGTTCGTTCTGGCCTGGGCGTATTCCGTCGAATATCTTTATAGTTTGGCTTAGGAACGTCAACTTCGTGAACCTGTAATTATAAGAGCACGTGGTAAACTGTGGTATGCTTGTAGAGAATCAAATAATTACCTTATAGACGATTGGAACATGAGAGGTAATGGAGGCATCAATTTCCGTTGCCGGTATATAGTTGGTCATGATAGGTTTGAAAGGTAGCCGAAGATCAACGTCGGTATTTCCATCTTCTCCCATCTTAGCATCCAAGGAAAGGAAGTTCAGTCTCATATCTTTATCCCTATCCGCGTACAGAGAGGCTTTGGATTTAGAATCACTATCACCACTATCGTCACTGCCATAAGGATCATCATAAATCGATGGTCGTGCAGGTTTATTCGACGAGGGCACCGGTTTGCCAACAGTGGCAGTAGCCGTACTGCCCCCCGTTGGTGTCCATCCCACGGTTGGAGTGCTGGCAGGGGAATCCGTCTGCTTATGCGATGATGGTGAACTGTCACCGGTGTTTTCTGGTATGTTGACATTACTGTACATTGACGTTCGACTTAATAAGTCTGGTTTCTTTTTAACCGTGGGCTCGGAATCATTTCCATAACGATCGAGTATACAAGAATCACTAGGCTTTTCGGGTTCATCATCTGCTGCCCTATACATTCCGAATGGTTTCGTGTAGTCAATCTTTTGGGTGGTTAATGGTCGACTCACAAGCTTTGTATCAAACACTGCCGGCTGCAGTGCACGAGCTGTGCTATTTGCGTTCTCTTGATCCTTGCTGCTGCTATATTTGCCATTATCATACTGTTCCTCGTCTTCGATACTGATCTTGAGATTGTTTTCTTCGTCATCATCATCATCATCATCGTCATCGTCGTTGGCTATTAAAAGATTGCCAGCGTTCTCGGTATTATCCATATCGTCATCGTCGTTCAGGTTGGAATCCTTGAGATACTGGGAGTAATCAACTGTAGGCGTTTTGATGAGACTGGTTAGAGATGTGGATACGATTTCCAGGCTATCCTCCTGACTGTTGGAATTGTCACCTCCAGTAGCTTCATGTCGACCAGTGTTGATCATTGGAAGGAATCTCATGTCCACATCCTGCCCTCCTAACGCAGGAATATTAGACGTTTCTTTGGTCGGCAGCGATGTATGAGAAGGAGTTACTCGCATGTCCAAGTCCTTACTACTTCCCAACGATACTGCTGATGTTGACTCACCGAATTCCGGTCCATATTCTGGGTCATCCGCTTGCAAGTTTTGCTTTGCTATGTTTTCCCGCAATTTCTGCATATTTAGCGCATTCAACTGCAGTTCGTGAATTTGGGTCACACTTAATCCAAGTTCATTCAACTGTGCCACAGTAAGCGTCATGATCTGATTCAGATCGTGAATACCCATTCGCTCGAGATTATCGATTTGATCCTGCGATATAACTCCAGACAAATACTTCAAACTTAAAAATTCTTCACCAGCATTGGCATTTCCTGTTGGTTTACCACCAGCTGTTGAACCAGATGACTTATCGCACCACCTTGATCGGCGATTCTTACCACCCTGTCCTACCATATCCAACAATGAAGGAATCTTACCGTCTGCAGCTTCACCTTCAGGTCCAGTTTTGTTAGTCATTCCGTATTTTTCCATCAGCTTACGGTGGGTTGCATTTACCATATTGGCTGCACTTTCTCGCCCGATACGGGGAAAATCACCGAGAATTTCTTGAGGAGCAGTCTCCAGATGCTTCATCAAAATAGCCCTCAACTCATCCGAGAGTGGTTCACCATGGCTAAACAGGCACTTTTCCTTTTCCTTGCACTTTAAACCCAAATAGTAATACTTGCAAGGAAAATCTGAGTGCATGTATAGACATTTCTCACGCTTTGCGCAGCAATCCATCAGATAAAATTTGCACAGTTCCATCTTGCGTGGACCGCTGTTACGGTGATGCTTTTCATCCTATTAAATAAAAAAGGAAGTCTTATTTCCAATTAACACAACAATCTACCAACAACCAAAAACTTACATCCGAATCGTCCCGTTTGCGTTTCCTGTTGTCACGATTCGCTCTATTACGTTGTCGATTCTTGCGCTTCCGGCGGTTATACTCTCGGTCTCGCTCCCGGTCACGATCCCGCCGTTCCCGGTCACGTTCCCGCTCTCGATCACGGGAATCGTCAGATGAGTAACTGTCTTCGGAATCACTTCGATCTGGTTGGCTACTACCACCTGCGCCCAGTGTTGGTCTTGGACTGCCACCTCGGACGTTCATCATTTCATACTCCAAATCAATCTCTTCCAATTCTTCCGGTTTTTCAGTACCAGATTTTTTCTAAAAGCAAAAAAGGTATGAACTCCAAAACACGTCCCTAATTTTCATTCCCACAAACCTTTTGCTTCTCCCGCCGCTTCCGCTTTGATGGCCTATCGTCGTCGTTATCATCGTGACGGTGGCTGATTGAGGGCATCGGAGGTTGAACACCGTCTTTCTTGAGTGCATTGGCAATGGCAGTTTCCACACTCGTTGCCCAATCATCTGAAAGAAAGGTAATCAAAAAAAAAAATGGTCAACATGTGCGAGTATGCAGACTACATATCTGTTCGGAACATACCGACTACCGGAGCGGGCTTGCTTCTTTTGGGTGCTTTGGGTGGCGCGAGTTCATTAATAAGTCGTGCCTTGGTATCGTTAATGTTCTTTACATTCTGCACCTTTTCACTAATTTCTTGTGCCTTGTCCCCCTTGTCCCAATCTTCATCATTCGGTTGTGGATCGGAAATGGAAGGAACGGTTTCTATGATCACCACTGGTTTTGCTATGACTTCTTCTTCTTCATCATCTTCAATCTCTCCGTCTTCTAGATCTTCGTGTTCACTCATTCTGTTGTTGGTTCAAACTTTATCGAAAAACAACTGATTTCCACTTTTTGCTTACACACTACGTATAACAAGATCCGCGGGTAGTTTGTGCTAAAAATAAATAAAACTACGTGTTTAAATATCATTAAAATATAATATAAATGCAGCTTAATATATTTAGGGACCACTCTTGATTCGTTTAAAACTGTTTTAGATAATGGCCGTCGGTATCTGACGATATAAATACCTAATCTATATCGACAATTAAGGCAATTTACAGCGTCTTAAATTAAATTGATATACTTGGCGCATTCAATAATTTAGCTGAGTTATATGTTTTTTTTTTTTTTTTTTTCTTTATTTTAGAGATTTTTAGCCTGAGGCTAGTTCATCTCTTCCTGAGTTATATGCAAAATTTATATCTGTCTAATTTAAGGGGAAATTCACCAAATGAAACACAGCCTGGCCAGGCGCCCACTGGTGTTGCGGCGATGTGGCATCTTACAAGATGTCGAAGTCGTGTGGCGTGTGGCGAACGTCGTCATGTTTTTATGCTACTAGATGATACACCTCTGATGTGAGTGCCTGGCCTAAGCCTATGAAAATATTGCGCACTTTGCAGCACTGCATTTTGCACAGTTCAAGGCCAGAAAATTCAAAAACCGACTTATATGAAAGACGTAGTAGCTTTAGAACAGTGTTGTCAAGCTACAATAATGAATTCGTGCTCTAGAAAGCTTTTTGAAGCTCAATATTTATTTTAAATTTATTACCAGCTTTAAAAATGTTACTGTGTACTTATTTTTAGCGCAGGTTCGAAATCTGCAACTCTTCAATATGTTTTATTGAAAAGCTTATGAAAACTGCTAACTATTGTGAAATTTTCCAGTTTACACTTAGAAATAAACAAAAATCGTAGAACATCAACTTTTGGTAAAATGTTTGAACATTTTGCGTATACAATTTATTTAGTGAAATTTTACGCAGAAAACAATTTTAAGTCCAAAAAAAAAAAGATTTCAATGAAAAATTTCTCGAAAAAAATCAATAAACAAAAAATAAAAAATTTGGTAGAGTTGCCAGTTTTCTTGATATGTTATATTCGCTTAAAGCGAAGACAACAAATCAAGTAGACTGGAAACTCTTCCATTTTCTCATACGAACGCTATGAGACAGGTACAAGGCCAGGTCGCGTCATCTGCCGCTCAAAGGTAAATGCTTCGAACGAATTTGATAGCAAAGATTACACCCTCAGAAGAATGGTTTGAGCATTTGTTCATTTTTCTATGCTTTGTTTCCACTTTCACTCAAGCGCAGCGCTATAGTATCTGTCACTTGGATTCCGGCAAAGTTGCCAGTCTTTTTGATATGATGTCTTCGATGTTGCTTAGGACCTAATGCAATGTTCAGCTTGATATGTTGTCAATTTAAATATTTTTATGTGAATTCTCATCGTTCTTACCCTTCTCCATAATGATTAACGGGAATGTTTGCTATCTGATTTTATCAGCTACAGCGTTACTGAGGCCTTCTTTTTTATTAGACTGCAAGATAATTGCAGACAGATTCACTTCGTCGACTTTCTCTTTGCATCCCCACGGCCATGTAAAGACATTCCCAGGTATTTTCAGCACATAGATCGATAAAAGAAGCTTTTATCTAGCATCTAATACGACAAACACATCAATAAATGGTTCTGTTATTAACGAAAGAGAAAGTCGACGAAGAGAATCGATCAATGTTACTTAGGACCTAATGCAATGTTCAGCTGGAATTGGTTATTAATTTATGTTGTAGCCATCATTGACGGCAATCGAATGTGCAGGAAGGTCATTCAACACACATATGGGCCGGGACCATACATACATACCATTGTAAACGGCTTTACTTCCCTTCCGAAGGAAGACGTGACCAGAGATTATTATGCCTCAGAAAAATCCCACCGACCTCGGCTGGGATTGAACCCAGACCCATTGGGGTGTTAGAAAGCAGTCACGCTTACCACTACACCACCGGCGCCGGCACCAATGTTGTCTGCTGAGTAGTTGATGGATCATGTCAGAAGAACATCATCTTCGTAATCAATTGATTACTTATTATTCTGACGTTCAATTAATATTTTGAACCATCCTGATGTACATGGACACACACATTTACACGAAAAACGCAAGAGAAATCTATTAGTTCCGATAAATTGACATTTGGAGCCATTCTGTACAAGAGTACTTACTCCGATTTGGATATTTGCTAGAGGTTTGTTCGATTGGATTGGAACAACTCACTACGCTATAAAAAAGGTTTTTCGGAATTATGAAATCATTAGATGTTATAATGATATGTTTAACTTGAATGTTAAAAGAAGAGGTTGTGAAGTATGTGTTTGACACATCCAACATATTATTTTCAGAGTCGATGTTATAATAAGAGTCCCGCTAAGAGAAAATGCTGCGAACAATCAGCACTGTTTTTGATTTATTTTACGTCAGAGTAAAGGGCAACCAGATTTTAAGCGTTAGCATCGGATGACTTTCATTCACAAGTGAAAAATGTCCTGTCGATAATGGAGCTTCTGGGAGACAAAAACGATTATAGAACCTGAAAAATGTTCAAACAAGTGTTTGGTATAACGTATAAATACCACAATATACTAAATAAAGCGAAGTAATGTTTTTCTTTTAAATAACTAAAATATTGTCAGTAATTAATGCAATACTTGTAGTTCACTGGCTGTGGGAACAATAATGTTTGTTTACTTTGCTTGTTTGGTACCCCGCTTGACAGTTTGATTGGTTCTTCTGGCTTCACTCTTGGCGGTACTCTTATTGTAACATTGACTCTGATTATTTTAACCTTCAGAGAGACAAAATAAGCGATTTTACGATTCATGAGCGTTCACTCAGGGTGGGCGAATCATACAATTAATTGTAACATCCTATGAGAGATAGGACATAGGTTGATACATTTAGAACATGATACAAACTGGGAACTTGAGTCAAGATTTCGAGAACGAACATAGAAAAGTTATCAGGATTGAATTTTGCAAAAATTCTGCGACTTGGATTTTATTTTAATTTTTGGACAAGGAATGCTCTGTATATTCTCGTTTCGCAAGAGTATGCTTTATTGTAATTGAAAGCCCACTTGGGTTATCAAAACTGTGCTGGTTTTTAAGCTTCCTTCACTGAGTGTTGGTGTTTCATCGTTGAGATTACAAATAATAGTGTCATAATGTGTTCCAAAAAATGTTTGGTTCCTTTCTATGAGATGACAATACATGACAATATATAAGAATAGTAACAACAATTTTGGCTTCCCTTTGACAGCCCACATTGGCTCCCAGTTGATAAGCATATTGAGTGAGTCCGCAGTAACCATCTTAAGATCTTAATACTATATTAAAAATCATAAATTAAAAAATATGTTTTTGAAAAAAAAAACTTCTTTTTTTAAATGACTTTTTTTAGAGTAGGAATTTTATTTTTTATAAAAATTCACACAATTTTTTACAATTTACTCGTTCCTGATGAATGTGGGCGTCTTAGTGGAATACCTGTATAATGAGAGAGAGAAGGATTAAAGGAAATACTAATCCTTCTCTCTCTCATTATAATTTACTCGTTGTCCACATTTTTGTAGGTCTTGATTTGAAAAAAGTTCAGCCGTTTTCACACTCAATCCTGCTCAGGCTCTTTAGGTAACATCTCCAACAGCCGACTACCTCGGCATTTACTTTTGCTGATATTTCTGCAAAATATCTGTTCAGCTAACAGAGATCTCAGAAAAAAATCTAATTTATTAGTTGAGTCTCAGAGATTGCTTTTCTGAATCTCAGAAAAATAAATTGCAGAGCTACTCGGCTATTGAAATCTAGACAAAAAAAAAGTTTCAACATCAATCAACGTAATCCATGCTATGTAATGGTATAAAGCAGATACAATATTACATACATGGATGAAATTTTGTTCACAATTTCTATAGTAAAATGTAATGTTACACTACCGATGGACCTGGTTTGCAGCAGTTTCGATATACCGTGGACCCTCGGTAATGTGACCGTTCTTAATCTGCACACTTGATCAAACGTTATCTAGCACATGGAACAGAGAAAAAACGAAATGGGACGTTGCGAAACAGAACGCAGAATCACAACAAAACATGAAATAAGGCTACCAGAAACTCGCGTAGGGTTTTTGATCTAATTTCCGTCCTACTAAGGACATCTCGCACTTTACCACGCTTTTTGGAAAAGGTTTGAATGGAATGTTTTCATCAAAGATAACTTCTAAATTTATCCACCTTTCCATACGTACCGTTGGATTTGATAAAGAGTCAAACAATGTTGAGATATTATTAAAAATCTAACACTGCTACTTGCTTCTAAATTCGTCCTACGCGTTTCAATTCCGTCCAAACGCATTGAAACGCCATTAGATTTTAGAACAATGAGCGTAAATATGGATACAATGCGCTCTAATAGGATTTATGTTGTAGCTAATGAACTAACGCATCGGAACAAACGTATTATTGTGTTGTGCATTGTGAAATCATTGATATTATTGATGATTTCTGCTCGATAGAACGGAAATGGGCGATTACGACGAAGTATAGCGCTCTTCCCTATCTGATAGTCGTACACTAAGAAAATGTCAAAGATTGTTTTTGTGTGTCCCACATGACTTTTTTCAATGTGATCAACATGATATCTATGTGTCGGACACATATTTAATATGTGTACACATAAAAGCCATGTTTGACCACACATACTATTTATTTGATACATACATTTCATGTGTACTTCTGAGTGAACTCTGTGCATGTGTGGTCACATGAAAATCATGTGTAATTTCACATGGAAGTTTGTCAATAAAAATTTGTGGAATTTTTTAAGTGTAGGGTTACTAGAAGCGCAGACTAACTACTGTAAAACATCGTCCTTAAAACATTACCACCATCTGTGGAGTGCACTGTGGTGGATAGTATACTGAACAGATGGCGGTAGTGTGCAAACGTCAAACGCAAGAGAATTGACTATGCGCACAGGTGGCGGTATTACCAACTACGATACTTTTAAATTTACCGTTAAATGCTTGTTCGATGAGCAACTTGCGAGT